CATTTTGTAGCTGAGTGTGTATATTTAGTTCTCTGCAAAAATGGTAGAAACAGCAAAAACAACGACATTTACGCGCACCACCACCTCTGTGCCAGCTCCAGCTCCAGCTCCAGGTTCTGCACCAGCGACCGCGCCCGTCCTGCCAGCATCTGTGACAACAACAACGACAACAATAAGGCCAACAAATGCGCGCCGCAATGACGAAACCGCGCGTGGCATCTACAATCTAAAGGTGATCGTTTTCCTTTTGTTACTGCCGTTCATACTGTTTGCCGTTTTTTTGAAACATTTGCTGGACTACTTGTTTTCGCTGGGCGTGAAGGAGAAGGATGTGCGCGGTAAAGTGGCAGTGGTAAGTTTTACGTGGAAGTGTGGAGTGGGTGGCGATCGGTGAGTAAGAAAGCGCATCAAAAAATGGAACTTTGAAGGGAAAGTACTTGAATGGTGCAAGATTGTGAAAATAGTAGATAAAAAAATAAGACAACTTAAGAGGTGGGTGGAGTCATATGTGTGCCATTGCGAAAGTCAATGATAGATTACCAATTGTGTATATATGTAGTTATTGTAAAGAGATTTTCAATCGAGACGGGTCGCTGGTGGCAGTTTGTAGACGTTTCATTGTCGTACAGGTGTTGGCTGTTAATTTACCAGTCGTTGCGTATTTGGCCACCAAACAATTGGACCGCCGACTTTGGCGGGTGGACTGGCTTGCCAAATGAGTGCAGGTGCCGCAACGAAATAGCCGCAGAAGGCATTTAATATCGATTGGTGTATGTGAAAAAAGATTTCCTCTCCTTATTAGGCTCTACAACTGTTCGTCGGTATGGGTCCTGAACAAAAAACTTCGCCAGTCGCCTCCGCTAGACAGGTTACTCTACAATTGGTCCTTTCATTGTGCTCGTGGTTCCCGATGGGTGCCGAGTCGAAAAATCTTTTCACTAAAGCGTTGGTATCCATGATCACAACGATCACAAACGTTGTAATCGTATGCTCTTAACTATGTCAATGTTCACTCGAAGGTCTTCTCATTTTTGCTCGACATCACCCATGTTTCTGCGCTATAAAAAAAGGCGGAAATTATGTGAGATTTGAGCACCGTCGAGAAAGGGATCTGTTTTTAAACTGCCTCCCGTGGCCAAAGTAGATTTGTGGAGGAATAGATTTGTGTTGGGATAGAGACTCCGTCTCCGAATACTTTCGTTCACCCTGGTGGAAGAGCTTCCATCTAGCAACTATCCGCATCAAAGTGAGGTTATTCAACATCTCGTCCAAATGAAAGAGAAGGACGAAGAGCAATGAAGGGATCTTTGACCCCACCTGCCTAAGTCTTTGCCGTCATATGACCCATTTATGTCGGAGTTCATAGAAGACCTATGCACTTAATTACTGATGCATACTGTATACATCATTAGCGCACACAAGGGGTAGTTTTGGGGTTTTTGGGGTTCGTAGGAGCTTTAGAAGGGCTATTTGAACCTGAGACGACTTAATGATGAGCTGTATGAGCTTTACAACGATATAGACACAGTACAGCGAATTAAAATTCAACGGATCCGCTCCTGCTCTGAAAGTATTCAACGCGGGCCGCGATGCTGGTAACAGAGGAAGATGAAGGCGTTTACATCCATCACATTCAACTTCCATGATACATATTTGGACTTGATCATAGATAACAACTTGTTCTGGAAACCAATAATCGAGGATAGTGTATGGAAGGCATCAATAACTTCATTCTACGTCACAGAAGCCATGGCTAAGCGCTGGGTCATTTTTTTGAATTAGATTAATTGTTTTATGGAAATATAATTCAATAAATTTTGCCATCAATGCTTTAATTGGAATCCCTTGTGCTCTGCGGACCACTCCCACGTGGTCCCACTACGTCTAGCGCAACACCAAACAAGTTTTTTCCTCATCCCAGCCATATTACATCACCGATATTCCTTCTAAAGAGAACCGATTGGAGTCGGTTGATGAGATTCTTGGAATACTAGAGCCTTCTGGCTGTACGATGAGAACGTCCCTTAGCTGTCGTTAATGTTGGGTTTCTACTTGCGAATTGCCCGATTAGAGTCCCTGCGGCGATTTACAGGCAATTTTAGATGCGATTTGTTGAATAAAATGTTGGCTGCCCCCAAACTTCATTGGCAGCGATTAGTTGAAAGGCCGTTCTCACCAGTCGCTTGTTGCTTTAATAAGTCCATACATATTAGTCGCTAGAGCCCTATGAACATTCAGACTCATTTTAGAAGCAGAAAAGTCCAAGAATTCTGAGTTGTAACGCTCATTATGAGCTCAAAAAAGAGCCATAAAAGAGCATAAATATTTCCCTTCTTAGGAGGGCTCTCCAATATGAATCTAAGTTAATAGTTATATAAGAGTCTGTTATATGAAGCGTGTTGAGTCTTAAAAACAAATGGTCTTTAACTTTGTTGCTTTTGTTCAACTCAGAATTTATGACACCAAACGAGTCCGAAACGAGTCAGTCAGGTTGACTGGTCTATGAATTATATGTATTTATGACGAAAGAAATACTCATTTCAGACTCATAAATTCTGAGTACTCAGAAAATTGTTTAAAGGGAGGAACTCTGTTGTGTAGCGTTTGCAAAATCAATTTGATTGGGCTGTTTCACACTAGAATGACAGAACAATTATTCTTACAGTTTCACACTGGATGAAAAGTAGCAGAACAACAGCAGAACAAAATGTGTATATGGAGGCATTGGACGTTTGAATGCATTTGTTACTTTGCGCTTGAAATTTACGTAGCGTGAAGTGTTAGTGCGCTGCAGCAGAACTGCCACTTTAATGCGGGGTAGAAGCTGGCACAACTTTTTGAGAAACTTTACCTCACCAGAAACTTACCCTCGCAGAAATGATCCAGTGTGAAGCCGACCATTCGAACAAAGAGTGTTCAGCACATTTTTGTCGCTGTCTCAGTAAGACAGAGTAGGAAAGGAATAACTAACAAAAAGTGTCCGGACACGAACGATGAATCCGCCTCTACTTCCAATGTTTTCCTTTCCCAAGTGAGCAAACAGAAAGTAAGGTATGTTTTTTTAAATTCCATTAAATGTAAAAATATGCAATCCTTCCATTTAAAGTGATTCGATAGAGGAGATTCGAGAAAATATTCCTTTTTGAAAAATATGTAATTTCTTTCAACGCGCTTTAATAAATGCTTTGCCCAAAACAATTCTCATTAGCGCCTTTCTTATGCATTTCGAAGATCGATAACGTCATCTTCATGAATTCATTGAATTCACGTAACGCATCGATGCGCGTGTGTAGCCAATAGCCAGCCGCTCAGGTAGCGGCCAACCGCTCCCACAAATGTTTTAGTCGCAACGCTTTGATTAACAATATTACTAATAAAAATTTTGTTTGAACACGCCTATGCCTACATAGTACATACATACATACATACATACATTAGTGCTTTTAGTGCTTTTATGTATTTGCATACAACATACTTATGTAGTAAGTATGTAAAGCGCAGATTTCCGCCGATGCAGCAATTTATTCCCCTACAATAATATTTACTTCTTAATAAGCAAACTTTGGTTAAGGTAAATATTGTATGTACGTACATACATATGTACCCTGCAGGGAAACCGCGGACTAGTGAATCAAATTTCTAGTTCCGTACTAGGTCTTTATCGCCAAAAAAGAAATAGTCCGATAGGAACTAGATCCCCACCAGTCCAAAATCGGCGAAAAGTGGTACTTTTAAGAAACTAATTTTTTCAGTTTTTTTCACTAGAAATCTATATCTAAAGTGACGAATTTATAAATGGTTCGGAACTATAGAAAAAGGGATGCAGAACGAACTAGATCCTATTTGTCGAATTTAGAACTATTTCGGAACTATCGAATAAGGGATGCAGCGGGGGGCTTGTTTACTTTACATAGATATGTGTTCGGCGGCTTTTTCGTTCAAATGCACTTTCATTCTGCACTTCGCAGATGCTATTTCATAGTTTGGTAATACAAACACAACTTTGTATTAACATACTAACATCTTGGGGCCAACTGGAATGTAACAAATAACAGCGAGCACCTCTGCAAAGTCAGCTACAGCCAAAGGTATGTAAACGTACATTTCTTACAATCATTCAAACAAATTTAATTTCAAATTGAAAAAAACGTTTCTTTGAAAATAATGTAAAATCGCACACGGAAGAACCGAAAAGACTGAAAAATCATAATACCTTTTTCTTTCGTCTGTCGATTTTAGAACTGGTTCGGAACTATAGAATTTAGGGCTAGTTCGGAACTATCGAGAAAGGGATGCAGCGGGGGGCAATTGACACTTCCTAGGACATCGCCATGTTAAATTCGCCAGTTGCTTGCATGCAAAAGAGATTTATCGCGAACCAGTACTGGGTCTAAATGTACTAGAAACGCCCCAGTTCAGAACTAGAGATTTTCCCCACAGGGTATGTTAGTAAGTCGTACTTCTAGTTATGAATCCGTAAAGTAGTAGATATTTTCGTATAAGACAAGCGAAGCGCGCTTTACGAAAAGTTTATTTGAGTTCGAACAGGCTTGGGTGTGGCGTAGCGTGTATGTATGTATGTATGTATGTATGTATGCATTTATCAGCATAGTGCGACAACAAAAGTGAAAATATTTATTTGTTTACTGTATACAAGCTTTTGTTTTTCTTCATATATATATGTTTGTATGTATGTTAGTAAGCAGATTTATTGTTTATTTTCATAATTAGTTTGGTAACTCTACCGGACTCGTTGACGTTCAACTGACTCAAGTCGCGACTTTTAGCTTAGACACAGCTTGTTTTCATACAAAATAGCAACATATGTTTGTTTTTGAAATAAATTTAATTAAAAATGTATTTATTGTTAAAACAAACTAGCGAAATGCGAGTAAGCAAGCGGTGTATAGTTTTATATATAATGTTTTTTGTTTTTTTTTTTGTTTTAACAAATGCGCACCCAAGGTCAGTCCCGGCGTGTAGCAAGCGGCAAACGGCTAGCGGCAACCACCTGAGGAATGCTGCTCGCCGAACGTGCAAATTAGTGCATATTTTATATTGTTACTAGTATTTTTATTCACCTTTTTTTGCGATTCGACGTGCGTCCCGTTGTCAATGCTTTTTTTCTTCGCACACTACACAAATAAAGTCAGAAACTTGTTTTTCGCCACACTCCTCTCCAATCCGCTAAAATACTCCACTGTGTATACATTAGGGTGGTCCAAATAAAGTAAAGTAGGATTTTGCTGTATCGAAAGAAATATACACCTATTTTTTTGTGGTTGAAATCAAGAGATATTTAGAGGTCGATCAAAGTTTGCCATATATTTTATATGGGGAAAAACAATTTTT